ACAAGGACATAGCGTGTGCAAAATAGCAAGAACAAGGGCCTAGCGTGTGCAAAAATTCAAAATAGCAAGAACAGGGGCCTAGCGTGTGCAAAATTTCAAGAACAAGCGCCTAGCGTATGCAAAATTGCAAAAACAAGGTCCTAGCGTGTGCAAAAATTCAAAAACAAGGGCCTAGCATGTGCAAAATTTCAAGGAGAAGGGCCTAGCGTGTGCAAAATAGCAAGAACAAGGGCATAGCGTGTGCAAAATTGCAAGAAGAAGGGCCTAACATGTGCAAAATAGCAAGAACAAGGGCCTAGCGTGTGCCAAATTTCAAGAACAAGGGCCTAGCGTGTGCAAAATTGGAAGAACAAGGGCCTAGCGTGTGCAAAATAGCAAGAACAAAGGCCTAGCGTGTGCAAAATTGGAATAACAAGGACATAGCGTGTGCAAAATAGCAAGAACAAGGGCCTTGTGAAACTAACTGAACAGGAATGAATTGACTAAGTCAGAGTTGGGTACAAATACAACCATAGCAAACTGTACCCCATATGTGCTACCCCACTATAGCCTACAAACATGCATCAGGTATAATAATCTGACACACCCCCATAGGCAAAGTGGGGGAGAACAAGGGGTCACAAGACCAGTCAAGCAAAGCAAAGCAAAGCAAGCTCAGGGTGGATCACAAAGTCACCACACAGTACGAGCACAAGAGCAGGGCCAGAGGCCAGTTCACATGCAGGAGTACAGACAAATATATAAAACTAGACAAGCAGGAGCAGGTATATATATGACAAAGTACAAGTAAAGTCAAGAAGAGAGCAAGTGAGGCAAGACAGGTACAAGACCCAGCTGGGTACAAAAGCGCTGATGGTCACAAGGCGCAAGTGCCTTGGTGAACACATCAGCAGTGTTGGCCTCAGAGGCCACGTAAGCAAGTCGCAACTGACCACGCTGCTGCAGCTCACGAGCAAGGAAGTAGCGGAGAGCAATGTGCTTCGTTCTGTGCTCCAAGCGCTGCTCTTGACACAAGGCCAGCATGGCCTTGTTGTCTACGTACAGCACTGGAGGAGAACGAGGCGGCTCTCCAAGGTCGGTCAGCAGGTAGGTGAGCCAGCGAAGCTCCTGTGCAGCCATGGCCCCGGCGTAGATCTCAGCCTCACAACTGGAGCCGAGAACCGAAGACGAGCGAGTAGACCGCCACGAGACAGAACCGGAACCAAGGCTGAAGGTGTAACCCTGTGACGACCGCTGCGTAGCCTGGTCGTCAGCCCAAGAAGCGTCCGCGTGGCCGGTAAGGACCACTGGACTCCGCCCTCCAAGCACTAGCCCCATACCCGACGTACTGCACAGGTAGCGCAATACCCTCTTCGCTGCAGCCATGTGCTCCGGTCTGTGTCTCTCAGGAGCAACATAGCGTGCAAGAATGCTCAGAGGGTATGCAAGGTCAGGTCGTGTGCAGGTCATCAGGTACATGAGGCAGCCAACAAGCTCTGCATACGGACCACTCGACTCTACGGACTCATCCGAAGGCAGAGCTGAGAGTGAGTGGCGAGTAGGCAGAGGAGTGGCCTGAGGCGAGGAGTACGTGAAGCCGAAGCGCTGAAGGACCTGCTGCACCATGTGTGACTGAGTCAGGGTAATGGTGCGACGTGCTCTGTCCCGAGTGATCTGCAAGCCAAGGTAGCTGCGCAGTTCACCCAGGTCTGTGCACGTGTGTCTCTTCAGTAGCTCGGACTTCACGTAGGCGAGTCCAGCAGTGTCCGCTGTGGCAAAGACCAAGTCGTCGACGTACACGAGGATGTAGAACGGCGGCAAGGAAGTGTCGGTGCGAAGAAACAGCGACGGGTCAGCAGTAGAAGGAGCAAACCCAAGAGCCGCAAGCGTAGTCCTCAGTGTGTCGTGCCACTCACGCGGTGCTTGGCGGAGACCGTAGACTGGCCGTCGGAGGCTCCACTGGGTGCCAGGAGGGAAAGTCCCAGTGAAGCCAGGCGGACGGCGCAGCAAGATCTCCTCGTGCAGGCTACCCTGCAGGAACGCAGTGCTGAAGTCGAGGGAGTGAAGCTCGTAGTCGCCCTGAGCGGCAATGTGCAGCAGCACCCGAAGAGTGGTCATCTTCGGGGTGGGAGAGAAGGTCTGAAAGTAGTCAACTCCCTGCCGCTGACTGAAGCCACGAGCCACGTAACGCGCCTTGAAGACAGGCGGGGAGCCCGGCGGCCGCTTCACCCTGAAGATCCACATGCCACTGACGATGTTCGCCCCAGGAGGGGGAACCGCGTCAACGTAGGTGTCTGTGGACTTCCAGGAAGCCATCTCTGCATCCATAGCTGCCTGCCACTGAGAGGAGTAGGGACCCTCTACGGCCTCCGCGTAAGAACGCGGAGTCGGGATGTCTAGTGCATCCGGGTCTCCCTCAGGGGCAAGCAGTACAGACGCGAGATGAGGTGAAGCAGCCGCTAGACACTGTAACTCCTCCTGCCTGTCCTCTAGGACGTCCGTGCCAAGGGCACACTCACCCCCGACGGACGGAGGACAGGCGGACTCAGACTCAGCGACAAGACGAGCAGCGTAGTCTAGACGACAGCGCGCAGCAAAGTCGACAAGCTCAGTGACAAGGGCAGACGCAGCAGACGACTCAAAGGAAGGGTCAGTGACAGCAGTAGCAAGGAGACGCGTGACAGTAGGACTGGCAGCACGAAGAGAGTCCGACTCCGGGTCGGCAAGAGCAGGAAGAGAGGAAGCAGGAGGAGAAGGCAAAGGGGCACGCAGAGGAGCAGTGGACAGACGCAGTGACATCCGGTGCGTGCCAGGGACAGGAGGAGGACGCTGACGCGACCCGCGACCACTAGCGCGCTCAGCACGAACAGGCGACGCAGGACGAGACGCAGGATCACGACGCTCAGTAAGACCTCCAGTCGGACCAGCGTAGGGAGAAGGAGCAGGCAAAGGGGAGGCAGGCTGTAGCTGTGGCTGGGACCGAACAGGCTGTGGACCCTCTAAGGAAGGAGGAGGAGGTGCAAGACCAAGAACCTGCTGTAGGAGCGGAACGAAGTACGGTCGAGGCCGCACGGCGACACCAGAAACAGCAGGAACAGCACCAGTCCCCCCGTCAGGAGCACCCACGCCAGCAGCACCTCCAGCAGCACCTCCAGAAGCTCCAGAACCCCCAGCAGCAGCACCAGGAGCACTGTCAGTCGGACCACCAGCGGCAGGCTCAGCGCCAACACCCTCAGCAGCACCAGCTCCAGGAGAACTCTCAGACCGAGCAGCTCCAGCACCCACAGTACGAGCACCGTCGGGACGCGCGGCAGCAGTACCCACTGCAGGCGAAGAACCACCAGCACCAGCAGCACGCCTCCAGCGCCTGGTAAACCACTCACGCAGCTCCTGTGGGGAGAGTGGCTCCCGGCGAGACGAAGCACCCCCAGGCTCAGCACCCCCAGGCTCAGCACCCCCAGGCACAGCACCCCCAGGCTCAGCACCCCCAGGCTCAGCACCCCCAGGCTCAGCACCCCCAGGCTCAGCACCCCCAGGCTCAGCACCCCCAGGAACAGCACCCCCAGGCTCGACACCTCCAGGCTCAGCACCCCCAGGCACAGTACCCCCAGGCTCAGCACCCCCAGACCCCGCACCCTCAGGCTCAGCTCTCGCAGCAGCACCAGAGTCACCAGTGACCTCGACAGGCTCGACCGCGTCTACCTGGGACACACCTGAAGGGGCAGGACCCTGAGGGGGGAGGGGGACTACCGGGGGGGGGCCTGGTACCAAGAAGAGCGGGGGCGGGGGGAGGGACGGAGTGCGGTAGGGGAAGAGGCGGTAGTAGGGTACCGACTCGTCGAACGTGACGTCCTGGGAGGACAGAACACGTCGAGAGGTGGGGTGGTAAAACTGCCACCCAGGGGCGTCGGGGGGGAACCCCAGGAAGACGCAGGGAGAAGCACGAGGGGACAGCTTGTCCGCAGACAGGTCGCGAACAAACGCCCGAGATCCCCAGACCCGGAACGCCGACGCATCGCCAACCTTCCCCGTCCACAGCAGGGCTGGGGAGGTCTCTGGTCGAGAGACCCTGGGGTGGAGGTTGATCTGGTGCGCAGCGTACCTGACCGCAAACGGCCACAGAAAATGGGGAGCAGCCGCATGCATCATGGACGTACGAGCGACGTCCATGACCATGCCAATGCGGCGCTCAGCAATCCCATTCTGCTGTGGTGAGTCCGGAAGCGTGAAGGTCTGACGGATGCCTCGCACACGACAGTAGGCACTCAGGAGGCCAGAGGAGAACTCTCCGCCTCTGTCCGAGTGCAGACGCAAAACAGGGAAGTCAGAGCCAAAGCTCCTCCGAAGCTGAAGACGAGCTGCGCGGATCCAGTCGATCAACACCTTAGTGACCTCACCCTTGCTGCGCAAGGGGAAGACTGTGGTGTAACGCGAGTAGTCGTCAACCACCAGCAGGAAGTAGCGCTCCTGACCCTGTCCACGGACGCGGGCTGGGCCCCACACGTCCATGTGAAGCGTCTGCAACGGGGCCTCTGTCGGAGGAAACTGGGAGGAGTGAGGGGCAGCACGCTGGCGCCCCTCGACACAGGGGACACAGGCAGGGCCAGGGCCCGGAGGAAGGGGAGGGAGGGACCGGGGAAGACCAGACACAAGGACCCGCGAGGCCATGCCTCTGAGCCGAAGCAGAGAGGGGTGGCCAAGGCGGTGGTGCCAGAGGAGGGTCTCGTGAGACAGACGACGACACGAACAAGGGGCAGACTCAGGACCAGACCTGGACGCTGCAGCAAACACCTGACCAGACGAAGGGACTCTACCAGACGCAGCACCTGGAGGAGAAGCAGTGGTCAGTGTGTACAGGCTCGACCCTGGCCGACGTGTAAACGTAGCCAGGTGACGACCTGTATCCGCCTCCGTACAGTGGGTCACCCGCTGACGAGCAGGGGTGAACTGGTGGACACCTGCATCCTGGAGGTCAGCACCACTCACCAAGTTCGTCGAGAACGAGGGGAGGTAGAGACCAGTCAGGGTGCCAGAGGGGGCCGCTGGACACGGGAGGACAGTGGAGAAGCGAGACAGGACAGGTCCCCCAGAGGGGTCAGCCAGGGACACCGCAACCGGCCGACTCAGCGGCGTGAGAGTGGTGCGGTCCCTAAAGAAGGAGCGAGACGCTCCAGAGTCAAGGGTGAAGGTGTGAGAGGCCGAAGCCGACACAGTACCTGAGAGCGCGGACTCACCAGCACCTGAGAGCACAGACGCACTGGCACCTAGAGCTGCAGCCTCACTAGTACCTGACGCGGCAGTACCAATGCCCGGGTCGGGCGGGAAACACCGGTAACAGTCATCCTCATCACTACCAGTCACAGCATACATAGCAGAGAGAATAGCATCAAAGTCAAGATCATAAATAGCTACTCCAGCCCTAGACAGCTCTCCCCAGCGGGGGATCTCAGCGGCCTCCGGAAATTGCTGACGCCAAGCGTCGGTCAGGCGGCCAAAGCAGCGACGGGCTGTGTGGGCGCCCCCACACCTCTCCCCCGCACGGTCACCGGTGCGAAGAACGTAGGGGCAGGGACCAAGTGCACCACCGCGCTGACGCTGCAAGTACCACTCACGGAGCTGCTGAGGGCCGGGGACGGTGCGAGAGCGCTGCTGCTGCTGCGGCTGCTGCTGCTGCTGCTGCTGCTGCTGCTGCTGCTGGCGCTGACCACCCCCAGAGCCGCTCCGCTGGGACGAGCCACTCCGACCCCCGCCTCCACCGCCACCCCCGCCTCCACCGCCACCCCCGTCTCCACCGCCACCTCCCCCACCAGGACCGTCGCTCCCACCGCTCCCACCGCCTCCTCCGCTACCACCTCCGCCGCCACCTCCGCCTCCACCGCCGCTACTAGTACCTCCACTCCCGCCACCACCCCCACCGCCACTCCCACTCCCCCCTCCACCCCCACCGCCTCCTCCGCCGCCCCCTCTAGCTCCACCCGCCCCCTTGCCCCCCTTGCCCTTGCCAGAGCGGCGTCTGCCGCTGGGGGCAGACGCCGCGCCGACCGACTCAAAACCAGCGAGGTCAGCCGCAGCGGCAGAGGCGACAGAGGGCAGCAGGGGGGAAGGACCACACCCCTCAAAGATGGGGGTGCGAGGGTCACCCCGAGAGGCCCCTACAGCGACAATACTCTTCTCAGCCGCTAGCAGGGACTCCTCAAGGAGGTCGACAGTGAGAGTGGTGGGACAGACAGAGAGAAACTGGTCCCTAACGACACGAAGGGACTCAGGGAGACGGGTGACGAGAAAGTAGAGAGTGATGTACATGGGAGGAGGGTTCGCAGCGCGGAACTCAGCAGGAAGGGCAGCACGGTAGCGGGTGTCACTAGCGCGGAGGTGGGTAACTAGGTCAGCAACAGTGGGAAAGGAAGCGAGGTCAGGGAAGAGAAACGGTAGCATGAGGCGGCTAAGGGTAGCGGAGGAAGGGGAGGAGTAGCGTGCAACTACAGCGTCGTACAAGGCCTGAGCGGTCTTGCACTGACTAAAGTGGGCACGCTCAGAGGAAGGGAGGTGGCGACGCACAGCAAGACGTGCAGCAGCATCGCGGGTCGCCCACTTGGAGCGAGCAGCAGAGGCAGCATCAGCAGGCGGGGCAGGGACAGCGCCAGAGACAAAGTCAAAGAGAGAGACCTCATCTATCGCATCACACAGTAAGTACAGCTGCAGGTCTTCAATCCAGACGGCAAAGTCAATGGCCCTCCCCTCAGCGTCAAAAGTAAGAACATTGGGGGTGGCCATGGCAGCAGCTGAAAGTCTCACCGGGCTAGGAGAGTCGGGTAGGACAGCAGCAGGCAGCTCGGGCTGGGTCGGGCGGCTCGGGCGGCTCGGGCGGCTCGGGCGGCTCGGGTAGCTCGGGTACCGGGCGGCTCGGCTGCTGCTGGGCGGCTCGGCTGCTGCTGGGCGGCTCGGCTGCTGCTGGGCGGCTCGGCTGCGGCAGGGCGGCTCGGCTGCTGCTGGGCGGCGCGGCTGCTGCTGGGCGGCTCAGCTGCTGCTGGGCGGCTCGGCTGCGGCTGGGCGGCTCGGCTGCTGCTGGGCGGCTCGGCGGGGCCGTCAAGGTGCAGCTGCGGGGCCGGGACAGGGGACGGCGGGGCCGTCAGGGTGCAGCGGCGGGGCCGGGGCAGGGGACGGCGGGGCCGTCAGGGTGCAGCGGCGGGGCCGGGACAGGGGACGGCGGAGCCGTCAGGTGGCGGGCGAGCAGGCGAGGTGGCGAGCCGTCAGGTGAGGCGGCGGGGCCGTCAGGTCAGTTTGCGGGCCAGCAGGTGAGGCGGCGGGGCCGTCAGGTCAGGTGGCGGGCCAGCGGGTGAGGCGGCGGGCCGTCAGGTGAGGTGGCGGGCCAGCAGGTCAGGCGGCGGGCCGTCAGGTGAGGCGGCGGGGCCGTCAGATCAGGTGGCGGGCCAGTAGGTGAGGCGGCGGGCCGTCAGGTGAGGCGGCGGGGCCGTCAGGTAAGGTGGCGGCGGGCCGTCAGGTGAGGCGGCGGGGCCGTCAGGTAAGGTGCCGGGCCAGCAGGTGAGACGGTGGGCCGTCAGGTGAGGCGGGGGGGCCGTCTGGTGAGGTGGCGGGCCAGAAGTCGAGGCGGCGGGCCGTCAGGTGAGGCGGCGGCCGTCAGGTAAGGCGGCTGCGGGGCCGACAGAGGTGCAGCGGGGGGGGCCTGCTGCAGCGACGAAGAGGCCGCGCGGCCGTCTTGAGGGCGGCGCGGCGCGGCAGAGCCGAGAGGGCGGCGCGGCGCGGCTGTAAGGGCCGCGCGAAGTGGGGCCTGGGCCGCGCGCGCGAAAAAAAATGAGTCGCGCGCGCGACTCTCGGGGCGCCACAAGGGCAGCTCGACGCGCACTAGGGGGAGCGCGCCTCGGGGAGAATAGGGCGCGCTCCGGGCAGGAAAAAAAATCGTGGGTGGGCCCAAAGAACGGTCCTTATGAGGGACTCGCTCTATACCATGTGAAACTAACTGAACAGGAATGAATTGACTAAGTCAGAGTTGGGTACAAATACAACCATAGCAAACTGTACCCCATATGTGCTACCCCACTATAGCCTACAAACATGCATCAGCTATAATAATCTGACAGGCCTAGCGTGTGCAAAAATTCAAAATAGCAAGAACAGGGGCCTAGCGTGTGCAAAATTTCAAGAACAAGCGCCTAGCGTATGCAAAATTGCAAAAACAAGGTCCTAGCGTGTGCAAAAATTCAAAAACAAGGGCCTAGCGTGTGCGAAATTTCAAGGAGAAGGGCCTAGCGTGTGCAAAATAGCAAGAACAAAGGCATAGCGTGTGCAAAATTGCAAGAAGAAGAGCCTAACATGTGCAAAATAGCAAGAACAAGGGCCTAGCGTGTGCAAAATTTCAAGAACAAGGGCCTAGCGTGTGCAAAATAGCAAGAACAAAGGCCTAGCGTGTGCAAAATTGGAATAAAAAGGACATAGCGTGTGCAAAATAGCAAGAACAAGGGCCTAGCGTGTGCAAAGTTTCAAGAGCAAGGGCCTAGCGTGTGCAAAATTGGAAGAACAAGGGCCTAGAATGTGCAAAATTGGAATAGCAAGGACATAGCGTGTGCAAAAAAGCAAGAACAAGGGCCTAGCGTGTGCAAAATTGGAAAAAGAAGGGCCTAGCGTGTGCAAAATTGGAAGAACAACGGCCTAGCGTGTGCAAAATAGCAAGAACAAAGGCCTAGCATGTGCAAAATTGGAAGAACAAGGGCCTAGCGTGTGCAAAATTACAAGAACAAATGTCTAACATGTGCAAAATAGCAAGAACAAGGGCCTTGAGAGTGCAAAATTTCAAGAACTAGAGCCTAGCGTGTGCAAAATTGCCAGAACAAGGGCATTGCGATTGCAAAATTGCAAGAACAAGGGCCTAGCGTGTGCAAAATTGCCAGAACAAGGGCCTTGCGTGTGCAAAATTGGAAGAACAAGGGCCTAGTATGTGCAAAATTGGAAGAACAAGGGCCTAGCGTGTGCAAAATTGGAAGAACAAAGGCCTAGCGTGTGCAAAATAGCAAGAACAAGGGCCCAGCATGTGCAAAAGTGGAAGAACAAGGGCCTAGCGCGTGCAAAATTGCAAGAACAAATGCCTAACATGTGCAAAATAGCAAGAACAAGGGCCTTGAGAGTGCAAAATTTCAAGAACCAGAGCCTAGCGTGTGCAAAATTGCCAGAACAAGGGCATTGCGATTGCAAAATTGCAAGAACAAGGGCCTAGCGTGTGCAAAATTGCCAGAACAAGGGCCTTGCGTGTGCAAAATTGGAAGAACAAGGGCCTAGTATGTGCAAAATTGGAAGAACAAGGGCCTAGCTTGTGCAAAATTGGAAGAACAAGGGCCTAGCGTGTGCAAAATAGCAAGAACAAGGGCCTAGCATGTGCAAAAGTGGAAGAACAAGGGCCTAGCGCGTGCAAAATTGCAAGAACAAGGGCCTAGCGTATGCAAAATTGCAAGAACAAGGGCCTAGCGTGTGCAAACTTTCAAGAACAAGGGCCTAGCGTGTGCAAAATTTCAAGGAGAAGGGCCTAGCGTGTGCAAAATAGCAAGAACAAGGGCATAGCGTGTGCAAAATTGCAAGAAAAAGGGCCTAGCATGTGCAAAATAGCAAGAACAAGGGCCTAGCGTGTGCAAAATTTCAAGAACAAGGGCATAGCGTGTGCAAAATTGGAAGAACAAGTACCTAGCGTGTGCAAAATAGCAAGAAGAAGGACCTAGCGTGTGCAAAATAGCAAGAACAAGGGCCTAGTATGTGCAAAATTGGAAGAACAAGGGCCTAGCGTATGCAAAATTGGAAGAACAACGGCCTAGCGTGTGCAAAATAGCAAGAACAAAGGCCTAGCATGTGCAAAATTGGAAGAACAAGGGCCTAGCGTGTGCAAAATTACAAGAACAATTGTCTAACATGTGCAAAATAGCAAGAACAAGGGCCTTGAGAGTGCAAAATTTCAAGAACCAGAGCCTAGCGTGTGCAAAATTGCCAGAACAAGGGCATTGCGATTGCAAAATTGCAAGAACAAGGGCCTAGCGTGTGCACAATTGCAAGAACAAGGGCCTACATGTGCAAAATAGCAAGAACAAAGGCCTAGCATGTGCAAAATTGGAAGAACAAGGGCCTAGCGCGTGCAAAATTGCAAGAACAAATGCCTAACATCTGCAAAATAGCAAGAACAAGGGCCTTGAGAGTGCAAAATTTCAAGAACCAGAGCCTAACGTGTGCAAAATTGCCAGAACAAGGGCATTGCGATTGCAAAATTGCAAGGACAAGGGCCTAGCGTGTGCAAAATTGCCAGAACAAGGGCCTTGCGTGTGCAAAATTGGAAGAACAGGGGCCTAGTATGTGCAAAATTGGAAGAACAAGGGCCTAGCGTGTGCAAAATAGCAAGAACAAGGGCCCAGCATGTGCAAAGGTGGAAGAATAAGGGCCTAGCGCGTGCAAAATTGCAAGAACAAGGGCCTAGCGTATGCAAAATTGCAAGAACAAGGGCCTAGCGTGTGCAAACTTTCAAGAACAAGGGCCTAGCGTGTGAAAAATTGTAAGAACAAGCGCCTAGCGTGTGCAAAATTGCAAGAACAAGGGCATAGCGTGTGCAAAATTGCAAGAAAAAGGGCCTAGCATGTGCAAAATAGCAAGAACAAGGGCCTAGCGTGTGCAAAATTTCAAGAACAAGGGCATAGCGTGTGCAAAATTGCAAGAACAAGTACCTAGCGTGTGCAAAATAGCAAGAACAAGGACCTAGCGTGTGCAAAATAGCAAGAACAAGGGCCTAGTATGTGCAAAATTGGAAGAACGAGGGCCTAGCGTGTGCAAAATTGGAAGAACAACGGCCTAGCGTGTGCAAAATAGCAAGAACAAGGGCCTAGCATGTGCAAAAATTCAAGAACAAGGGCCTAGCTTGTGCAAAATTGGAAAAACAAGGGCCTAGCGTGTGCAAAATTACAAGAACAAATGCCTAACATGTGCAAAATAACAAGAACAAGGGCCTTGAGAGTGCAAAATTTCAAGAACCAGAGCCTAGCGTGTGCAAAATTGCCAGAACAAGGGCATTGCGATTGCAAAATTGCAAGAACAAGGGCCTAGCGTGTGCAAAATTGCCGGAACAAGGGCCTTGCGTGTGCAAAATTGGAAGAACAAGGGCCTAGTATGTGCAAAATTGGAAGAACAAGGGCCTAGCGTATGCAAAATTGGAAGAATAAGGGCCTAGCGTGTGCAAAATAGCAAGAACAAGGGCCCACCATGTGCAAAAGTGGAAGAACAAGGGCCTAGCGCATGCAAAATTGCAAGAACAAGGGCCTAGCGTGTGCAAAATTGCAAGAACAAGGGCCTAGCGTGTGCAAACTTTCAAGAACAAGGGCCTAGCGTGTGCAAAAATTTAAGGAGAAGGGCCTAGCGTGTGCAAAATAGAAAGAACAAGGGCATAGCGTGTGCAAAATTGCAAGAAGAAGGGCCTAGCATGTGCAAAATAGCAAGAACAAAGGCCTAGCGTGTGCAAAATTGGAAGAACAAGTGCCTAGCGTGTGCAAAATAGCAAGAACAAGGATCTAGCGTGTGCAAAATAGCAAGAACAAGGGCCTAGTATGTGCAAAATAGGATGAACAAGGGCCTAGCGTGTGCAAAATTGGAAAAACAATGGCCTAGCATGTGAAAAATAGCAAAAACAAGGGCCTAGCGTGTGAAAAATTGCAAGAACAAGGGCCTCGCGTGTGCGAAATTGGAAGAACAAGGGCCTAGCGTGTGCATAATTGGAAGAACAAGGGCCTAGCGTG